GCTGTGGATGCCCTTCAGGACTGCCTTCTTGGCCTTTAATGTCTTTGCTTTGGCTTCAGTTTTGGGAGGGGCAGGGTCTTCCTTCTTCACTTTCGATGCCATCTTTGTAGAAAGCGAATTTTTTAATAATAGATTGGCCCAATGCAATATTTGAGTTTTTGATAGCTGCCTCCATGGACTATTGATGTGGATTCAAGTAAAATGAAATCTTTGACAACTTAATCTTTTCTCCATTTACCGTGATTTTGCTTCCCTCTGTAGTCTGTACTGAAATCTGTAGTCCTTGATGTTTAAGTCTTCACTTGCTTCTAGTAAGCAAGGTTGTGTCATTTGCCATCTCAGATTGTTATTGTCTATTCCTCTAGTCCTAGTGTATATTCTTCTTCAAGTACAGCTGTTGTTGTGTACAGTAGAGTCAGAACTGACCCGTAGCTGACCCTTCCTGTGGAGCAGCTTGTAGCCTTGAACCACGTGCCTTCAGGATTGCAGTGCAGCTTCTTGCCACTAAGCCACTCGCATTATTTGCTTAGCATATAGGTTGAATATGAATAATTATGACAGAATTAATGTCTTTGAACTATGGTGTTGGAGAAGAACACTGAACATCCCATGGACGGCCAAAAGAACAAACAAATATGTCTTGGAGAGGGTACAGCCAGAGTGTTTGAACATGTTGCTAGGAGGAGTTTAGTTATGTATATTTTTTATATATATATATATATATTTATTATTTTGTGTGTGTGTGTGTACTGTCAAATCAGATCTGACAGGTACAGGAGGAGATTGCCCCTCCTCCAGCAGAGCATCTGGTGGATTTGAACCGTGTGTTTCTGGGATTGCAGTGCAGCTTCTTGCCACTAGGCCACCAGAGCTCCCTTGAGGGGGCTACTTTTTGGAAAGGGACATGGTGCTTGGGAAGGTAGAAGGTTTGTGAAGGAGAAGAAGACCCTTGACCAGGTGGATTGACACTGTGACTACTGCAATGGGCTCTAGTGAGAAGTTGGAACAGTATAGGACCGGATTCAGATCTGTTGTTCATAGGGCCACTATGGGTCATATTCAATTTGACTGCACCTAACAACAATAACAACAATAGACTGAATAAGTATATAGAAAAGATGGATATATGTGCATACACCTACTGATTTAACAATGTGCAGTACCCTCTTGTGGCCTCATTGTAAGAAGCTGTACTACAATCCCAAAGGCATGCAGTTTGAGGGCAATCTCCTCCTGTGAGATGATTGCCTCTGAAAACCTGCTAGAGGGTTAGCTATGGGTCAGGTCCGACTATATGGTACAAAACAACAACAAGAACATGCATTTGACAGGTTCTGAAAGAGGACAATGAAGTGTTCTGGAGTGCCCACTCATCACAAAGCTATCCATAAATTGTTATGATTCATACTGTTGAATGCCTATGTATACTCAAGAAGATACAGATAAACATATTTCTGGTATACTCCTCTTTTAGCCATGATCCATCTGACATAAGCAATATCTCCTTCTGCATTAAGTTTCTGGCAGTACTGCTGCAACTATCTTTGAGTTAACCTCAAAGTAAAAAATTAACCTCAAAGTAAAAATTTACTTCTGTGCAATACTAATGATACTATTTGATAATTTTCACATTCGGCTGGATCACTTTTCTGTGAAATGGACACAAATACAGATCTATTCCAGTTTCTTGACTAGATAACCCTCTTCTAAATTTCTTGACATATATGATTATCTTTCATTATCACAGTACATTTAGTATTGAAGTTTGAGGCTTGACTTTTTTCTTCAGTTATATCAGCATAAGAAGTGCTTGGTGTATTCTTCCCTTTGAGTCGTGCCACATCAACTAATGAAGGTCCTGAAAACTTCAGTCCTTCTACATCATTAAGGTCAACTTTCCTTTGAAGAGAGAGCTCCTCCTCACTTGTATTTTAAGTGTTTTCAAACCTGGACAGCTTCTCTTCCTCCTCTACTTCAGACAATGCTCTTCTCTATCCATTAGGGGTTTTTTTTTGGTGGCCAATTTTTAAAGAAGTAGATCATCAGGTGCCTAGCTGTTTTAGTCTGAAAGTTTTACTAAAACTTGCCCATCATGGGTGACCCTACTAGTATCTAAAATACTGGTGGTATAGCTTCTGGCATCCCAGTAACATGCAAGACACAGAGGTATAAGCTCATTAAACATAAACTCATTGTTGGTTGAGTTGGAACCAACTCATAGCTGAACCTACAAAGGATTTTTGAGGATGTCAATTACATGAGAGATTAACTGTTTTCTCCTACAGAGTGCCTTGCAGATCCAAATTGATAGAGAGGCTTGGCCTTTAGATTAACAGTGCAAATGGGCAATCTCCTCCTTTGTGATGAACTGTCTCTGAAAACCCCCTAGAGGGTCAGCTATGAGTTGGTTCTGACTCAACAGCATACAATAACAATAGGAGACATTAAGTCTGCTACAACTTACAGTGACATGAACAACAGATCTGAACCCTGCCTTACCCTATGCTATCCTCACCATCTCTGCTATGTCCCAGCTCATTCATTGTTACAATCATTGTGTCAATCCACCTTACGGAGAGTCTTCCTCTCTTTCTCTGACCCTCCACCTTCCTCAGCATAATGTCTTTTTCCAATGACTCACTCCTACTGACAACATGCCCATGGTATGTGGGATGTAGTTTCATTATCCTTGCCTCTAAAGAGCACTTTTCCTCTAAGACAGACTTGTTTGTTCTTTTGGTAGTCTACAAAATATTCAGCACTCTTTTCTAACATCACAACTCAAAGGCATTGATTCTTCTGTGTCATCCTTATTTATTGTCCAATTGTCAGATGCATAGAAAGTAATTAAAGAGACCATGGCTTGGATCAGGTGCACCTTACTCTTTAAATTGTCAACCTTGCTCTTCAGCATTTTGGAGAGGCCTTTGAAAGCAGATTTTCCTTACTGGTGACAGAATTTAGGATATTAGGCATTTAATAGTACTCTCAGTATAGATAGGGAGCACTGGTTACCTAGTGGCAAGAAGCTGTGCTGCAATCTCAAGACACAAGGTTGGAATTCACCAGCTGCTCCATGGGAGAAGGACGGGGACTCTCCTCCCAGGCAAGTAACTGCCTCAGAAAACCTGCTCGAAGTTTAGCTATGTGCCGGTTGCAACTCAAAGGTATACAACAACTCATTGTAGATAACAGCTCTTTTGTTTTTAGACATTCTCCTACTTTAGCACTTGTTTTATAAATTTGGAAATACTGTAGCAGATTTCTAAAGTTGCCTTTGTCCAAAACTGTATAAATGACATTGTTATGAAGATTTAATAAAGTCTTAATGAAAAGAATAGCATTTTCTATTGTAATGTAGGAAACTCGAGCGGTAAGGAGTTTCGCTGCCAACCCAAAACACAGTTCAAATCCACCACTTGTTCCACAGGACAAAGATGGACAATCCCATTGTGATTTATTGCCTCTGAAAATTGGCTGGAGGGTCAGCTATGACCCTATGGTACATAACAACAATGCAATCCAATTGAAACCATTAAAAACGCTCAAAAGATACAATGGAGAGAATAGTATGATGAACCACCATGTTTCTAACATCCAGTACCAGCAACTATCAAGTTAACCCTGTTTCATGTATACTCTTCCTCATCCCCGATTTCTCAAAAATTATGAGAGCACAATGACTACATCTATTATCAATTATTACATCTTATAGGCCATGTTTTTTGCAATCACTTCTTATGCATCAGAGAGTTGGACAATGACTAGGGAGGATAGAAGGAGAATTGACGCTTTTGAGCTGTGGTGCTGGAGAGGAGTATTGAATGTACCATGGACTGCCAAGAAAACAAACAGATTCATCCCAGAGAGGGTTAAACCAGGCTACTCCTTGGAGGCAAGGATACTGGGGCTTCGTCTGACATACTTTGAACATGTTGCAAGGAGAGACAGGTCCTTGGAGAGGGACATCATGCTTGGTAGGGAAGAGGGACAGCGCAGGAGGGGAAGACCCTCTATGAGGTGGATTGATTCAGTGACTGGGGTAATAGGGATGGGTGTGTCAGAGGCAATGCGGTTGGCACAGGATAGAGCAGGGTTTAGGGCTGTTGTACATAGGGTCGCTATGAGTCGAAAACGACTCGTCGGCACATAACAACAACAACAACAACAACAACATATCTGTAAAAGATACCCTTTAAAAAGTGTATCCACAAAGCCATTGCCACAATTTTCTTCACAGGGTCCTCGATATGAAAGTCTCGCTGCTATAGAGTTGACTGGGATTCATAGTGACCTGCCATTGGTTTCCCAGGCTTTAAATCCAAGGCTCAGCTTTCTTCTAAGGTAGCCTCAAGTCCTGTCAACTATTACACCACTAAGACTTCTTTGCTTTTAATTTTTGAGGTTGAAAACAATTTCTTACGAAGAAATTGTTTTAGTAGTGTTTATCATGTTTCAAGTCACAAGGTCTTAAGTGTGGCGCATACGTATGAAACCTACTTGCAGGACTAGGTTGCAGGAGTGCAGGCTTTGAACTTAGCTTTTGATAGAACTAGTCTTTCACCTTTGGTAAATAATCATTGAACGTGAGAGCGCGGCAAGAATTTAATTTGTATTTTCTTTAGCCTTTGGAAAGCAAGGCATGGGAAGAGGATTTGGTTCCTCTGTGAGGTCCAGGCATGTTAAAACTTGCTTCTTTTTCCAAAATGTTCAAGTTGCCATGGCCTTAGATGAACATGTTCTAGAAGATAACCCCCTCCTTCCTTTTTTATTTTTTTAGAACTGCACAGGTTAGGGAATTTTTATTTATTTATTTTTTTTCGGGGGGGGGGGTTCGGGTCACGCTCCAGCTCCAAGCAGTCTCGGCCGGCCGACAGGCCTCTGACGTGCTAGAGGTCAAGGACCGGCCGCTCCGGGTCTTGCGCAGCTCCTGCGGTTCTCAGGCGACACTGGGCGTTTCCTCCTTTTCCGGTCTCGGAAAGTTTTGGTTTGGTTCTTAGTTCCTCGTTAAGGAAAGGAGCTCTGTTGACCAAAAGTTTCTCAGCTTTGCCCGAAGTGACGAGAAGTTAAGTGGACTCCATTACAGCTTGCAAGTGTCAGTTCGAGATCCCTGCAGGCCGAGGGCACGAGACATGTGCAGAGGAAAGGGGCTGGTAGCCAGGCTTCACTGCAGCTGTTCGGCCCCTCTCTTCCTTCCATCTGTCACTCTACACGGGGAGCGGCCAGTCTCCTACTGACTATTCAAACTTAAGAAGAATAAAAAACAAACACCTCAAAGAATTTGAGTGACTACTCAGGAACCCGGTTTTCCACCATTCCCAAGAGAATACTCAAATCAAGCCGCGCCCAGGCAGGGCAGAAAAGGCAACCCCAAACCGGGAATGGATCCTAGGGCGCATGCGCACATCCAGGCCGCGGCGTCCAAGTTTTCGCCCGGCGTCAATAGCCGCTAGGTGGCGCATGCGCCCTGAAGGGTGCGGGCCAGTCACTGAGAAGAAGGCGGCGGCGGCGGCTAAAGGCAGGAGTGCCGTGGGGGCCGGGCCCGTGTTTACCCAGTGGCGGCGGACGGCGGGCGCGGACGCGAACACCGGCGCGGCGGCACGATGGTCATGGCGCATTTCGTCGAAAATTTCTGGGTAAGAAAAGGATGTAGGAAATTATGTGTGGGTTTCGCCGTCGAAGTCTTCGGTGCCTGATGTCGGCCTGTGTGCGCTTTGGGCGGCGGCGGCGGCTCCCTCCGGCAAGGGTGAGCGTCCTCGGACCGCCTTCGCCTGGGTCCCGCCTGGTTGCTGGTCGCCCGGCCGGCTTCGGGTCGCCGGTCGACCCGGACCCCTGGGAACGCTGCCCTTGGCGGGAGCACGGACTGTCAGCGCTGCCTCCCTAAGCCCGCGGCGTTGGACCCTGCGGGGCTGCCGGCCGCCGGGGCTCAGGACAAAGCGCCGGATGGGGCGGGAGACGGGACGCGGCCCCGCGGGAGGCTCCGGGCGCGCTCCGCGAGGCGTGTGCGCC